CCCAGACAGTAAAAATGTATTCATTAATCAGAAGCTGGCAGGAAATGTCATACTGTTCAGCAGACAACTTCACAGATTTAAGTTTGGATACCCACAAAAAAACACTCATCCTGTGGGGAGCACTTGAGTAGCTGTGGACAAAACAAGTGAAAAACAGCAGCCACAGAAATCAAATCTGCCAGCTCACCTGAATTCCAAACACAAATCCTTTCAACAACTGATTTTAATACAATCCCATAAAGAGATATCCTGATTTCTCCTGAAAATCCATACATACTCAAGTACAATGCTATACTCATTCAGGTTAGACCAAGTAGAAGTGAACCCTTAAGCTGAGATGACTTGTGTAAGAGTTGAACACATAGGTTGATCTGGTTCCAACAGGCTGGGTCACTAAGAGCAGATGTGGAAAAGTGGGAGACTTTATATCTGTAGATATTTAGTTACCATACCTGTGCACCTGGATTGGGGCCAAATGGGTTGGCTGGCCTCACCACTGGCTGGGTGTACATCACAGTAGGCTGTGCCATCAGCACGGAGCCCATGTGGGGAGGCTGATCAAAAAAAGACTGGATTAATTATTTTTAAAATAATAACTCATCTTCAATGGGATGCAATCTATTAAAGAGGTTACTCCACATTAATTAATACAAGATGAAACTCTCTTCCTGCTTGCAGAGTCTGTGTGTGCATGTATACTCGTATGTCCAACAGTGAGAGGACCAATTTGAGTTTTACACCATGCAGAGGGGACATTTTGGCTGGGGCTCTCTGACAACTTCAAATGCTCTTTCAGAGTTCAGACTTGGTTTTAGGGTTCAGATTTGACATTTAGCTGTGATGGTAGGGTTAATGTAAAGGACTACGGAATGCATTCTGTCAATGTGTCCTTACAAACATAGCTGTATAAAATGAGGAAATGAAATCCTGCAGAACATATAGTCCCAGCTGACTTACCATTGCATATGCCACCATGCCTGTCGGTGTGGTTGCAGGGAAGGCCATGACAGAGGGTGCCTGAGGTGACACAAAACAGGTTGATTCCTCCCACCGAGTCTGGAGTCAGCTATACCCAACCCATATTTAACAGCTTATTATTAGATTACCAAATCAGTGTCATAATACAGTGGGTACAGAAAGTATTCAAACCCCCTTAAATTTTTCACTCTTTGTTATATTGCAGCCATATGCTAAAATCATTTAAGTTCATTTTTTTCCTCATTAATGTACACACAGCACCCCATATTGACAGAA